CATCAATTAATGAAAATTATGTTATTTAGGTACAGTACAGTCGCTACATGGTTAGCACTTCTGCCTGGCAGTACTAGGGTTGTTGGTTTGAATCCCAACCACCTGCCTGCAGTTTGCATGTTTTCCCTGTGCCTGCATGGATTTCCTCCTGTAACTCCAGTTTCCTCCCACACTCCAAAGACATGCTGGTAGGTTAATTGGATCATGTCTAAATTGGCCCTAGTTAGGGGCCCTAGATTGTATGCCCCTTGAGGGTTAGGGACTGATGTGAATGTACAATATACATGTAAAGTGCTGTGTAAATTGACAGCGTTATAAAAATACCTGAAAAATAAAATAATAAATAATAATAAAATACCATAGCTTGTAGTGTGTCTTTACAGCCAGGCCATATTTTGTTATTTAGCACTGTGCTTCTTTAACTGGTATATTACTCGGTCATGCAACACTGTACCCAAATTAAATTTATATCATTTTGCACACAAATAGACCTTTCTTTTGTTAGTATTTGATTTTTTATTTTTAATTATATAAACAAAAAAAGACAGAAAATTCTGAAAAAAATATTTTTTACTTTCTGTTACAAAACATACCAAATAAAAAAAAATAAATTAAAAATTAAACATCTAATATATTCATAAATTAAGCTAAAATGTATTGGTCTATTTGTCTTTGTGAGAAAGTTATAGCTTCTCCAAACTATGGTATATATACTGGAATTTTATTTATTCATTTATTTATTTATACTAGTAATGGCGGTGATCAGTGACTTGTATGTGTGACTGTGTGCGGCGATCTGACACTAATTGACATTGGGTGGGAACTGACTAACTGACAATGACATCACCCGTAACACTAATACAGTGATCAGTGATAATATTGTACACTGTCACTGTACTAATGACACTGGCTGAGAAGGAGTTAATGTGTAATGTATGTAGTTTGTGCTGCTTTTTACTAAATATCTGTTTGTTCCCTCTGTACATAGTCCTGTGTGTTTGTCAACACAGGGTTCTGGGCTATGATTGCACACAGTCGATCAGCAGGTCTCAGCCATGAATCATTGGCTGAAACCTGTAAAAAAAATCCTGCTGTGACCAACCACAGTGGGAGTCAGCCGGGGGGCGAGCACACATGCGCTCACTCTGAAGCTGAAAGACACTACTGATGTAGAGGTTCAGGATTGTGCCCAAACAAGCCACCTGGCTGCAGTAAAATGCAAGTGGGCAGTCGACAAGTGGTAAATTTGGTACATGTTCCCATTAATAGAACACAATTTGAAAAAAAATTACAAATGACTGGTTACCTCTTTGAGTGCAATTTACTTGCTTAATGTGGTAGCACACGCTCATATTTTATTTTTATCTACAGGTAAGCGTATAATAAAGCTTACCTGTAGGTAAAATTAATATCTCCTAAACATTTACTGTTTAGGAGATATTCTGGCAAGCATCAGCCGGTGACATCACCAGCGCATGCGCTCTGAAAGAACGGCCATTCCTTCAGAGCTGTGTGCCACAGCCGATACGTGCGCGGGAGTGACGTCATCGTGGCTTGGTCAGTCAAGATGTCGCAGCCAGTGAACCTGGAAGGAAGACCGGGTGAAGGTGGAACCACTGCAGTGGTGAAAGCACGCCGCTGGAGGACTTCATTTTAAGGTAAGTTCTTTATAATGTGCTAGTATGCAATGCATATTAGCACATTATGGCTTTGCCTTGCAGGGGAAAACTTTTTTAATTTTTTTTAGCGTTTACTACCACTTTAAAAATTCTTACATGCTCTCCCTATTTTTTATGAGGTTTAGGAGGGGGCTGTGGAGTAATGTTTAACTAATTAACCCTGTCTGTACTAGATTTGACCGCATTCTGTCCCAACAAAGGGTTTAAAAATTAGAAACTGACCCCTACAGTGTATACTAATAAGGGATAGCTTATTCTGTGTGGGGACAGAGCCATTGCGAGACTGTCCAAAAGTTCCTAGAATCAGCTATGACATCTCTTTAGAAACTTCTAAAGAAACATTTGCCCAGTTCTTCTAAATGCCTTTTCTACTGGCAGGAAAAAAGCAGCTTAAAACGGCGCCTAAAGCCGTATTATGTGTTTAGGTGCATCAAGCATTTCAGTGTTCATTCATTCCATTGGCCAAAATGTTATTTTTCTTTGGCCATTGAAATGCATTAATGCTCAAGCATGAAACGCACAAGTTTTTTGTCCTGCTGAAACGCTCTCCTCCTGAACGCGCAAGTGATGTGTTTTTGTCCTGCCCCTAAACTTTCCTTTTGAAATATGCATGTAAATGCCTATGTGTACATGGAGCATGGACATATAGGCTAACATGGAGGGGGCGTTTAGAGGCAGAAAAAAAAAAGCCAAATGCCTCTAAATGGTAAGAAGTAGTAGGAAATTTATTTATTTAATTTTTTTTTAGGCATGCTGCGTGAATGGGAACATGTAACTAACATATAATGGGGTTTTCTCAAATTTTACTGCGAAAGTGGAATTACACTTTAAGGTGAAAAAAAAAAAGCTAGGATGTTAAATCCCCATTTAAAAGATGTAACAATGAACTGCCTTACTGTCAAAAAGCATATTTCTGTTCAGGCATCCTTGCCAGAGACAGCCAATTTTTTGGCCTCACATTTCCTTATACAGCTTGGTAATGGATCACCACGTATAGAATAGAGAAAAAGCATCTCTAAGTGCAGTATAGGTTACTTTAATGGATAACAAATGTAGAACAACTCACATCTTTCATGATAAAAGCAAGCTCAAAAGGTGGGAGGATGGCTGTGTCCATGCTGTGTCATGCGCATCTGCACTTGGAAGACCGTAGATGTAGGAAAGAGCCGGCCGGCGTGTATAGTCTTCTAAAATGGCATCTGGAACGCACATTGAGGTGCGACATCGGCGTCAGTATGATGAGGTGTGTGGACCAGCATGCAATGCGACGTGTTTTGGAGCATGCGCTAGACCTCTAAGGGCGGAATCGAGCTCCCTTGTCAAGCTCCACTTGGAGGCGCTTCTTCTCTTCTCTATTCTAAGAGGCGCTTCTTCTCTTCTCTATTCTATACAGAGTTTTGCTACTGCTACATGAGGCTTGCCCTAGTGCTATATGAACTTGTGTAGCCCTACATTGGACTATTGGACTCTTTTACAATTCTTAATAGCTGGGTGATAGTACTTTGCTCTGATTGTTCTCAAATTGAGTGTTTTGTTTGTATGGATCACCACGGCCTGTGATTTGATGGTAAAGGAGCAGTAGCACACTGATGAGGCCAACTTGTGCACTCCATTCTCATAAGCTAGCTCCCTGTGCCATGTTGTAAATCCAGATTAGCTTGCAGTGCTGCCCCTGTCTTCCCCAGTCTAAATGCTGCTGAGCAAGGAAATACAGTGTGCTAATATACAGAATATACAGAATGACTGAGGTACTATCTAAAATACATTTAGGTATTTAAAAGAAATACATAACTGGGATAAATGTAATACATTTTATGCCTGCCTATACTTTTGATTTAAAGCACTAACTTCACTAATGACACATTAGTGTACACATCTGTAAACAAAGGTTTAAGAATTTATTATGGGTGGACTAAGAAAAAATATTTCTTTCACCAGTAGGAATAAATAAATGAATCACTTTTCAAGAAGTTATTTATTTTAATGGAAATTTGCCACAAATTTTATAGTGGGTTGTATTACTTTTTGCCTCTCTCCCAGAAAAAAAAAAAGAGTGGTTTTGGCAAGATTGGCTACATCTGTTTTATCCAGGAAGCCAAAAAATTTTCTTTATGACATGATTGCTGTCAATCACATAATAATTTATTAGGTATTTTTGGCGCTAAATACAGTAGGTACATTAACCATTAAGCCTTTATATATATGAACAGCTGCAAGATCATATGCTGTGAAGCACTGATCATACATCCTTGTTTTTTGGAGATATTTAAGCTAGGCAAATATTCTGTACAGAGGGTTGCACTGATTGTCTTCTTAATAAATGGCTACTCACATGTTTCAAAAGAAAGTGAAGGCTGCAATATTATATTTTCCATTAAAGGGAAACTTTAATGGTTTGAGGTCTATTGTATTTTATAAAGTAGATGCAAGCATTAACTGAAAGGCATATAGTTTGCTAAATTATAAATAATTTCCTGATGATTTGCAGAAAAGACCACCTGCACCACCACTACTTATGCTATATTCACGCCTGCGAATGGGCCAGACACTGATTACATGCCCCAGCAGGCATCTCCAGCAATTAGATGCGGGACGCAGACCCATTAAAAGCTATGGGAGGCCTTCTTTTAATGCAACTAATCATTGCCACTCGCATGTAATCGCTCATGCATCAATCACCTGCAGGTGATAGCTGCGTCTGCATCCAATTTCATCCAGGGCTGATCACTTGCAGGTAATTGCAGCATGAGCGATCACATGTGAACACCTACGAATAGCTAAGGAAGCCAACAGACTTGCATATCTTTCAATGGGGCTGCCTTCCACAGCTAATTGCTGGGAACCCCCACTAGCATTCCCACATAGAATCGGTGTGGGGCTCATTAGCAGGTTTAAATACAGCCCTAATTTTTAATAAACCTGTATTGTCTTTGGAGTGTCAACATCTCTTAGAACACATATTCACTGACGCATTTCACTCTGATGTAATGCTAAATCATAACGAGTATTAAGGCCAGTCTAAAATTAATTCTGATTGCTTGTTATAGGAACTACACTTTGCATTACTTCACAGGAACATAAGCTGTGGATATGATTTGTTTATTTTCTGTTTCAGTAAGTTATTCTTGAAAAGTTTTACAAATAATAAAAGTCATACACAGAAAATCACAGATACCAAGTGATAAAAGTAGAGCTGAACACAAAGTCAGCCTAGTGATAGATCGTTAAGGGTTCAACTTCAGCTCAATCTCCTCCCATACTGTATGCCAAGCCCCTTGAATGTGCTTAACTCTCCCTCTAGCTTAATGCTCTATGATTAAAGTGGAGTTCCACCCAAAAGGGGAAGTTCCTCTTTAAAGATTGGTCCCCCGCTCCCCATTAAGGATTGGCACCTTTGGGGAGCGGGGGGGGGGGGGGGTACCCTAATTTGACAGGAACCTGCCGCCACTTCCGCTGCGATCGCCTAGGCAATCAGAAGCAGAAGTTGTCCTCCTACCCTCCCTCCCTGTTTATATTTTTCTTGACAAAAAGTCAATGTATTTTCAGGTTTAGATGCTTATATATTCTCTTCAGTTGCAAAACATTCAACCCATATTTTAAAACATCACACTACAAGGTATACGTAAAGCTCAAGCTTAAAGTGGAGTTCCACACAAAAGGGGAAGTTCTGCTTTAAAGATTGGTCCCCCCGAAATTGACAGGTACACACTCCCACTTCCGCTGCGATCACCTAGGCGATCAGAAGCAGAAGTTGTCCTCCTACCCTCCCTCCCTGAAGTCTTGAGGGACACGTGACAGGTCCCAGAAGACTACAGGACCATTCAGGAAGCTCAGTGCTACTCGCATATGCGCAGTGGGAACCCGGCTGTGAAGCCGCAAGCTGTCACAGCCGGGTGCCCACACTGAAGATGCCGGCGCCTGGAATACAGGACGGCCAGTGAAGCGGGCTGCGGCGGGGCAACACGGGATCGTGGGACAGGCAAGTGGCTGTTTTTTTAAAAGTCAGCAGCTACAGTTTTTGTAGCCGCTGACTTTTATTTTTTTACAGAGTGAGTGGAACTCCGCTTTAAGTCCAATGGAGGGTGAAACATGTTAGGGGGTGTGGCATATGGGAGGAGACAGAGCTGATGATCTATCACTAGGTTGACTTCTAATAATCTATAACTAGGACTTTCAATGTGTGGCTCCACTTTTCTTACTTGATATTTGTTGAGTCTAACTGGTACAGCTCTGAGCATTGGCACCTGGTAGGTGTTTTGCAGTCTGCAGCTGGATAAATGCACCAGCTTTGAGTAGTACATTTCTTTTTATGGGATTACAGAAAATCAGAGGTATACATCCTCGTACAATATGAAGATTAAGACCCAAAATGCAGGTTTTGGTTTCAAAAGCGTGACAGTACAGAGACATCGAAAGCAATTCATTGAGTGATCTGCATAATTTCAATATGATCTTCATAACAATTAATGCAAAAAAAAGATAACAATATCTCATAGGGGCTGGAGTTCCTATAGGTTGATGTTCAGCAGGGCATTCTTGTGCTTTGACCCTGTGTCAGTGGTTACTCTAAATGGAATAGACCTAAAGTTGAAAAGTACATTGTGGAAAATACCGGTATATGAACATACACTGTAAATAAGTGCACAGCAAGTCCTGATAATAAAATGGCAAACTTTAATCAATATAAATTTACATTTTAAATTGCCTGCAGTTAAAATGTTTAAAACATTTTTTTTTTTTCGTTTTAGGATAGTGGTAAGGGGTTAGAACCTCTGTCAGGTTTTATTCCTGCTGTGTCCTCACTAATTAGATTCACTCACCCTTTCCACCCTATTTTTCCCAGTAACTATTCCAATGAGGACACTACTGTAGTTCTGATGATACCTGTCTTAGAGGTGATTTTGCTAACTTTGGATAGCTATCCTCTCACTTTCTGTTGCTTTAACAGGAAGGAAAGTGATGGGAAATCTCTCCAATGGAACACAGATTTAAAAAACCTTAACAGTTAACTAATAATTACTCTATCCTAAATGGAAAACAATTTTTTATGACTTTCGATATACTTTATGCAGAACATTCATTTACTGTATAATGCAAAAACTATTTAAAAATATATAAAGCTGATATCCACCCCTTCCTCCTAGAAAAATCTACTTTTTCCTCGCAATTTGTTATGTGTGAGTGTACTATTATTCACTAGCACTATATCAAGAGGCTTAACGTATAATAGCAAAAGGCAACTTTTTTAACTTTTGGATACAGTGGAGAGGGATTAGAACGCATGTCTCTGCCCCTGTTAAAGAGATTCACCCTCTCTATTTGTCCTGTTTACTATTATCATTGAAAGTAAAAGTAAAAGAAAAACCCCAGATTTCAGGTTGTCCCCAGAAATGTAATAGAGGGGAAATCTTCCCATGGGGACACTAGTTCTGGTGACCTGAGGGTCTCCAAGGAATTCCCTTAATTTGCAGGGATTTCTGCTCAATTCCTGTTTGGCTATGGGATAGGACGTGAAGGAAAATCTCTGCAATGAGAAACCGATGATAGAAAAAAATCTGACAGGGGATATAACCCTCCCACACTCTGTCCAAAATGAAAAAAAAAAGCCTATAGTTCTACTTTAACGTTATCCAGTACTATTCGTTGCATTATTATCATATTTTGTAATAATGCCTATATTTGTAACTCCCCCATGACATGATAATATATATAACGATATAGCTGCATAGCATTACCAAAAGTAACTAAAACAAATAAAAGTGTTTTTTCATCTGAGATATATGTTATCCTTCTAATAGCCTTTTCAATTTGAATGTGTTTCTGTGACCATGAAGAACTAAAATTTATATTTATTATCTTTTCAACACAATACTGTTGTTTTTAATAATGATTTAAAATTAAATTGATAAAGTGACTTAAATTTTCACAGTTTATGTTCTACTACAATAATGGTCCAATAATAAAAATAACATAATAATATCATAGATAGAACAACAAAAGCAATACAATAAAAAAAATAAAAAAAATGATGTAGAGGTCATTTATTCGCCTAACCTGTAGATAACATTTAAATTCAACACCCATAGTGTGCCAAATTATATTTTCCAGCAAATTAATTTAGACAGATTTCTAAAAACTAGACTCGGAAAATATGTAAATAATGTTGAGGTGAATAAACAAAGAGCAATGACGGTAATGCAGACTGATGTTTAGAGCATTTTATGTGAAAAATGTAATATTAAACAAAATACATGTATGAAAAAACCTTACATGCACATTCAGTACTGGAAGAATATTTACCATAAAATGGTTTTAAAACAAGCTTGACTTAAACACGTCTTGACGTTTCATGATAGCATTGAGTCTTGCACTATAAAACCTTTAAAACAACTTTTTTTCCTCAAAATATGTAGCCAAGCTATTTTTCTAATACACTTCCACCATGACAACTTTAAGTATTGATGATTGATATAAATGGTGATATAAATGTGAGTCTGCTGATAATGCCATTAATATGAAACAAGGGAATCTGTCCAATCAATATACATGGTGGACAGGGTACATTATAAAACAAGGTCTGCATTGAGGACATGCCAAGGAAGGCCTGCGCCTTTGAGAACGGCCCTTAAAACACAGTCATAACTTTTACATCCTTTCTCAATGTTACTTGGCACACTCTTGTAAGAGGGAAATATGTAACTGAATTATTATTTCTCGCATGAATCTCTAAGTTAAATTTTTGTGTTTTACTGTTCCAGCTTCCACCATAATATTTTTTATTGGTGCCTGTAAATCCTTTATGATGTAACTATTGTCTGTATATTTCTACTGCTCTGTTGACCCAAACCACAAATTAATCAATGTCCTCGTCTTTATGCCAAGCTGCAAGTTGCATCATATGTCACTACTCGGCATAGCAGCTTTGCATATTACAATTACCTAGATATATAGAAACATTTATATATATATATATATATATATATATATATATACACACACACACACTATATTGCCAAAAGTATTGGGACACCTGCCTTTACACTTACCTGAACTTTAATGGCATCCCAGTCTTACTTCATAGGGTTCAATATTGAGTAGACCCACCCTTTGCAGCTATAGTAGCTTCAACTCTTCTGGGAAGCGTCCACATTAGATATGACTGTGGGAATGTTTGGGCAGGCACATTTGTGATGTCGGCACTGATGTTGGATGAGAAGGCCTGGCTCGCAGTCTCTGCTCTAATTCATCCCAAAGGTGTTCTTTTGGGTTGAGGTCAGGACTCTGTGCAAGGCCAGTCAAGTTCCTCCACCCCAAACTCGCTAATCCATGTCTTTTTGGACCTTGCTTTGTGCACTGGTGCACAGTCATGTTGAACAGGAAGGGGCCATCCCCAAACTGTTCCCACAAAGTTGGGAGCATGAAATTGTCCAGAATGTCTTGGTATGCTGATGCCTTAAAGTGGAGTTCCACCTGAAAAAATAAAAAAGTCAGCAGCTACAAAAACTGTATCTGCTGACTTTTAATATACAGCCATTACCTGTCCCTCGGTCCAGTGGTGTCCTCACCACCGCTAGTTTCACTGGCCGTCTTCTCTCCCTGGCGCCGGCATTTTCAGTGTGGGCACCTGGCTTTTACAGTTTGCGACTTCACAGCCGGGTGCCCACTGCGTATGCGCAAGAAGCGCTGCACTTTATGAATGGCCCCATAGTCTTCTGGGACCTGTCACGTGTCCCAGAAGACTACAGGGAGGGAGGGGGGGAGGACAACTTCTGCTTCCAAACGCCTAGGCGATCGCAGCGGAAGTGGGAGCTGGTACCTGTCAACTTCAGGTACCTGATTTCCAAAGGTGCCAATCCTTAATGGGGAGCAGGGGACAAAGGTTTAAAGCAGAACTTCCCCTTTTGGGTGGAGCTCCGCTTTAAGAATTCCATCAATCTATGAGGTGTTATGCACTGCTCCTTCTGCAAAGAGTTTAGTGTTACGGTGTACACAATGAGAAGTGGAGAAAAGCCCATGACCTCTAAGCTAGGCAGCTAGAACATATTAAATAAAGTTTCCAGGATCCTGCTGCAGCATCTGAAAACCAACTGTGTGTGGGGGGAAGGCCTCTGTTGGCCCTATGGGCCGCTTGTATGTTCACTATTGACCTGTATGGAAGTTTGAAGTATTGGTTGATGGCAACTGGCAATGGACTGAATTCATAAGTTTTAAATTGAAGAGTAATACACTTTTGTTGAGAAAAAAAACAATCCCCTCTGGATTTTCTATGTACATTGTAAGTATTTTAATAACCTTTGTAGTAGATTCCTACCTGTTTTCGTTCTTAAGAAAAAGCTGTATGTTTCATTATGTCTTTGATAAATTGATTCCTGAATGTGAATGTTTGTGTTAATTCTAATTAACTGATGCACTTGCAGTCTTTTAATGAGAAAAGTTGTGCTGTCAGCACTTCTAATTAAAGTAAAACTTTAATTAGAAGTAATTAAAGTTTTACTCAACCCAAAACAGTAAAATCAGTCGTTATATCTAGTAAAGCATTCTTGTTATACTTATGTGGAAACTAAGGGGTTAATCCTTCGCATTATGTAAAACGGCTATTTGATCCTGCCTTCCCGGATCCTGCCCTTTTTCCACAGTCCCCAATCCATTTCCTGATAGTACAGAGCTCTAAGAGGCACTCTACACAAGCTCAGTTTGGTGTCTATTGCTAGTTTTTTGGGGGGAGGGTGCATGTGATCACCACAGGGCCAATCAGTACTGTCCAGACAAAGGGTCAGGGGTCATGCAGCCTCATAGAACAGTCAGAGGAGAATGACAACTCCTCCTACAAGCTTTAACCAGTGCTCGGTCGGACACTGATAGAAGTCACACGATTGCTATATACTGCTGATGAGAAAAGGTATTTAGCAGTTTATACTTACTAAAATAATTGCATTTCCATGTTCTGTGTGCTGTGGTAGACCAGATAGAGTAATGCA